ATTTATATAAAAGCAAAAGCCATCTAGGGATAAAGAATTAGCACTTAAATATTGATTTTCACTTGTAAGCACTCTACCAGCATCAGTGTTATTGCTGTCAATGCAAAATGCTTTATTCTCTCTTTTGCTTATGATGTGTTCCATATCCATAGTACATTATGCAGCAGCCTTAAAGTTAAATTTAAAACAAAATTTAAAAAAATACACAAAATGTTTACTGAGGTTCATTTAGTTATTTCTTTGTTTTTACCTACTGCTGTAAAGTCTTGCTCTTCTCTACTCGTTTCCTTTGCTGATGCTTCAAAAGTCTTCTCTGGGACTCATCAGCTCACTCTGAAATTCTCAGCTTCTTGCCATGTATAATTCCCGTGCTGCTGCTTTTGTAGCGTTTCTTGCTGGAATATGGAGCAGGGTTCACCATAGCCAGTCTGGCCTGGGTCTGTTTTCAAGGATATGTACAGGGCGGATAGATGGGCTACAGATGGTGGTTGTTGTGTTTCTTGGGAAACTGCCATTGGTAAAGATGTCATTGATGGATGTAGGAGAGGAATTTCTTTCTCACATCACCCCATCACCCTTGCTGTTTGAAAGCAACAAGGGAGACTGTAGAGGGAGGCTGCAGAAAGACGTCTGAATGACTCCACTTTTCTTTTTTCCAAGAGACAAAGGAAAGGCGTGCAAGCAAGATTAGATTATTTCCAATCACATTGTACGTGTGTTGACAGTCCCCTTTCAGCAGCAACCAGCAGCTTGCAAAGAGCAAGAGGCAGGGCTGGAACTGCTGTTGCCCTAAGTACTGTTTGTATAACACAGTAACTGCTTATTGGAGTTCTCAAAGCAGCCTTTACATGTTTAATCCCTTGCACTTGAGCTACTCTTAATCAGCTTGAAAGCAAATTCCTGTAACAGAAAGGTTTAATTTGTGTCTGGGACTTTCTGTATTGTGCTTAGCCTGCAATGCCGTGTAGTGACACACTGGCAGGCATGTCACCCTGTGCAGCCTTGGGGATGGGCAGTGCACGGTTATCCCAGCCACAGATTCAGAATTCAGGAAATTCGCTTGGGGTCTTGGCTGATGGTCTCTCAGCTTTGGGTGACTCCTCCTGAAGCATGCTTTATACAGTAATTTAAGCTGTTCTTGACTTCGGGGTTTCCCTTTAACTTCACCTCCGGTTTCTACAGATTTACACAGCAGGAGCTGAAGCTCTCTGTGCTTTTAAAAATGGTTTTCTTCTTTACCGGTTGAAGTTGGAATTGGATGTAGTCCAAGACATAGGGAGGTTAACATTTTGCAACACTCCAAATGAACAAATTAGTCGATCAGGGAGGCAAGAATTACTAATCCCAGGTTGTTGGGGTTTTTTTCTTGTTAGAGCAGTTTCAGCCTTCTCTTCCCTGTCTCTCACACTCAGTCATCATTCATTCCTGTGAGATCAAGACATGTCTGTTCATTTAAGAAAACCTCTCAATGGAAGAAGTCCAAGGTGTTTGGTTGGGAAATAAACAAAAGTTGGCGTGCTCAAAAGGGGTAGCGCTCTGCACGGTACAGAGTGGCAGATGTGATCCAGCTTTCCCCTAGCATGGCTGGAACATGAATCATTACAAATGTCAGATTTCCTGTGAAGGGACAAGCTGAACTGACATGCGTTCAGGTTTAATTAAGGTTGAATTATTGGAGCTGACTGTCAAGTCTTAGGCAAATTGGCTCAGCCTGTTATCATTAAGCATGAAAATTACTCTAGGACTTGGTAAAAATGAGCACATTTTTGCCTCTAGAACATTGTGGTGTGGTCGGGTGGGTCTGTGTTTTTGTTGGGGCAGTTAAGCTCAGCTCCATGGGTCTGCCTGCTCAGGAGGGCTGGATTAGCAGCCCAAGAACAGAAATTTCTGAACGGATCTCGATGCAACCTGATCCAGCTTGCACAAAAGGGAATATTTGGTTGCTTTCCTTGGGATATTTCCATATGTGAGCAGCAGTCAGCCTGGTTAGAGCTTGGGCACTCAGGAGTGTGGTTCTCTTGGGAGGGATATTCGGGTATCCTGCAGAGAAACTACGAAGTTTGAGATCCTGATCAGGGCAATATCCCTCATTAAAATCATTAACTTTCTGAGGGATTTCAGGAAAGATAGCTCAGAGACTTCCATGTGTGTATTGCAGCCATCAGGAGGAGAAATGACAAAGTCACTAAACGCCAGGATTCCCCCCTTCCTATGTGGTGGCTGAGAAGGCTCAGGAGCTGCTCTCTCAGATGTTTTTCCTCTCTTTCCCATGAATTCACATAATACCTTTCCCTTCTTCATGCTTCTGCTTTTGTGCAACATGGCTGCAAAAGGAGGGAAGATACTCCCACTCATGCCTGTAGCTTTTCTGGCAAGGAGGAAACTGGCATGTGGATATTTTCATTGCTGTCGAAAATGAAACACAAAAACATTGCAGTACTGCATCCTGAGAGATGGAAGTTGGCAGCAGGAATTAGTCATGTACCCCTTGTACTAACTAGCACAACCAGGCTTGGCTGGTCAAATCAGTCAGCAAGGGAGCCTGAGCTTTTGCTTTGAGAAAATTGCAAATGAGAACTAATGCTGAAACCACAGGGAATCAATAGTTGCACATAAAACTGGTCAAACAGCTGCTTTTAATGTGGGACTTTATTGATTTGTTTTGGATCTAATTGACTTTTTACTCAACTAACTTTTGTGGTGCCAGTGTGTTTTGAATATACACCATTAGTCTACATTGCCTATAATTGCACAATATGAAGTTTAACTCTGTAGGAGGAGGCCTGTTGGATGCAAAGAGCTAATGGGCTCTGAGGAAACCTATGCTCAGGAATGAAACCCAATTGCTTTTAATGGGTAGCTCCTGAAAAATAGTGGAATCTACAGCTGTGAACACACTTGCTCCAAAATGCAGTGTGGGGAGCCCTGGCTTGACTAGGCAATGACAATTTTTAAACTGTTAGCAGTAAAATCTGAGAAAAATTTACAAACATAGGTGGCATTATAAAAAGTAATGATGCACTAGAGCACTGAGAATTTCACTTCAAAAATAAATTCCAAATAGCATTGGAACCAAGCCTAGCTACATCTCACAACCAGGTTACCTGTGATGGATGAATTTATATTTGATAAAGAAATTCACTGAAATGAGAGGCTTTCATTTATTGTAGAGAGTAATTTAGGATCTCCAGACATTGTGTCAAACCAGTAAAGATATATAAGGTGCTGGAAAGTACAGTGTTGATAGTACTTGCTGCCAGCCAAAACACTGGTGTTTGGAAAGGCTTCTGTTCCTGTTACTTGTGGGTTTGAGGCCCCAAGACCTCAAGACATTTTCAGCTGATAAATATAGTTCATATGTTTCCATTTGTCCTCTTCTCACACTCTGAATTTATACGTACACAGTGATGAGCTGATTGATGGGTGGATGAGGGAAACGGTGCATTGGTGAGAGTGCAAGCAGAGCCAGAAGCAGTGTGGGAAGCTGCCTTTTATCTCAAGGAAGGAGATGCCATCACCACGTGGGCATTCTGGGTACATGAACACGAGCTGGTGTGCTGCAGGCTCTGAGTCATCGCTGTCCTCCTCCCATCTAAAGCCAGCACCGTGGCACCCAGGCTGTGGAAGTGGCACTGGGGGCTCTGGCCTCGCATGGGCTGGTTCACAAACGCTGTGCACGGCCAGAATTAGCCATGCAGGGCGTGCTGTGTGTTATTTCCACACCCTCCTACATCAGGAACTGGCTCGGTCCTTTGATGAGACGGGCGAATTTCAAAGGTGGAATTTGTTTGTGAGGGTGTTGGGAGCATGTTAATGAGTGTAGGTCACATCTCCTGCGTGTCTGCAAGGCAGCAAAATGCAAGCAGCCCCCAGCACGTTTTGGTGGGTAATAAAAGTGTGTCTCCTAAAAGTCAGAGGTGCTGTGTGTGCACAGTGGGATGTGTGCAACACACCAACAACCTTAGGTCTTGTAGCCCATGAAGAGCTTTTCTCGTGTCTGGGGTATGTGTTCACTCAAGGATACACAGATGAGGGTGGAAAGGGAGTTACAGTGGGAGTTGAATTGCTTTCATGTTGGTCTTTTCAGTTGTCTTCAACCTTTTGGATACTGCTTAATCTGAAATATCTCTTCTTTCCTCCCTTTTTCCTTTCCAGCCTTTTAACTCTCTGGGATGCTTTGTTTAGCTTAATTATGAAAAATGGCAGGGTTTGGCACCACAGAAGGAGTAATTCCATATGGAATTCTCTCTATAGGTGCATTTTGCAAGGTTGCAGCATTCCTTATAGTTTTGGCACACCGAGCATACAGATGTTTGCACTGTCTAGGGTGAGCAGGGCTACATTTGAGTGCCTACTGAACTTCTGACTGGATTTTTCCAACGTTCTCTGTTCTGTTCTTCCACACAAGTGTGTAGCCAGGAGACAGCAGTGTCACAGCTTCTGTGCAGAGCTGTCCCATCCTTTGCTACAGAGATCCCAGGTAGTCTCCAGCCTGGAAGACAGATAGGGTTATCATTAAGGATTGATGCTTGGATCATGGTGCGTTGTAGCTGGAGTTGAGCCTAAATCCGATGTGGGTTACCTTGAAAGGGCATTGAGAAAATGAAATGTCTTAATGATGAGGCCTGTGTTTCCTGAACATGAAACTTGCATTGAGCAGGAAATACTGTAGCAGTAACTTGAGACATGTTCACACTCCTGTTGTACATTACCTTGGGTCCCTGAAGAAGTCACAAAGCTGTGTGTTCTCTGTAGTATGCATTCATTTAATGACAGCTAAGTCTCTTGCACACATGCTAAAAGTACAGCGGACTGGCCAGTCAAGGACAGCGGAAGGACAGACTCAAGCACACATCCATCTTGTAGCAGCAGTGCTCCCACGGTGCTCCCACGAGCTGAAACATGACTTGTTTTTTCCCAGGCATGTGTTCTACCGAGCAGAGAAAGTAAACGCAAACCTTTCAGCGTGTGCTTTGTTCTTTTTCCTGTTGCTCCACAAGGTCCCACCTTGAATGACAAGCCAGAAGCGAAAGCAGCCAATGTCCCAAAGGTGTCTGGGCTAGAGCGGAGCCGGGAGCTGAGCACCGACGTGCCCTTCGCCCTGCCCATCCCCAGCCCCCAGCCAGTCGCTGCCGTTGTGACTTCGACTTCCTCAGCGCCCACGTCAAGTGCCAGAGCGAGCCCACTGCTGAAGAAGGAGCCAGTGATTTCAGCACCAGCACCACCCAGGCTCACGCCTCAGCCGCAGCCTCGGCCGCAGTCACAGCCTCAGCCCCGGCCGCAGTCGCAGCCTCAGTTAATCCCCGACCTCCGGAGCCAGCCTCCGAGCCACATCCCTCCGCCTCTCAACTACCAAGTGCATCACCAGGTGGCCCACAACGGACTCAATAACATCAGGTAGGAGGAAGGGATGCTCGCGTCCTCTTCAGGCTGCTGCGGGGATGGAGCTTGTTTCAGATAGGTAGAAATTTCTGAGAGGCAAGGCGAGCACTCGTCTGGGGTAAGATGGTCAGTGCTTTGGATATTGGACTTCGTGGGCTGACTCCAGGCTGGTTTTTCCAGATGTGGTGGATCAGTGCATTTGAAACGTGATAAATGAGGAGAAAGGCACATTTTCCTTTCAGTCCAGTTGCAAGGAAAATTTTGCATGGTCTTGTCTGACCTGGCTAGTTCTTGACTTAGAAATTTAAGGTGGTTTGAGTTTGAGCAACACCTTTGTTCTATATTCAGAAATATTTCCACTACTCATGGTTCTCAGGTATTTTGGCTCACCAGCATCAAAAGAGAGATATCTGTCTTCTACTTTGATCCTTGTTGGTCCCTTCCAACTCAGAATATCCTGTGATCTGTGTTGGAAAATGCTGTGTCCCTGAGACCAGGGCTTCCATGTGGGCTGATAAATCTGCTTCAATCCAACATGTTCAGATCTTGCAGGAGGCTTAGCTCTGCTGTTTGAATTGCCTCCATCCAGTAAGGAGGGTGGGTGAAAATGATATGGATAAAATGTTTCTAGAGAAAAGAGTTTAGTCAGTCAACTGGAACCTGTATAGTCTTTTTGCTGGTGCAGAAAACATGCTTTGCCTCCCAAGCAAGAGCTAGGCTAGTTCAAACAAGATGAGAAAACTGATTTAAAGCATAATATTTGACTGCACAAAGGTCAGAGTATGAATACAGAGAGCTGCCATTAATGTGTATTTCATAGTATCCTGCATACTTAAGGTCTGTTGTGGTTTTACCTTGTAAATGCCACCGTAGTATAAGTGGTGAATAATATTTCAAACTATTCAAGATCTCTCTGAGGTTTAGCTTGCAACAGATATTCAGTATTGTGGGAAGTACACAACTAATAACTGCAGTGATAGTGTGTTTCAGCCCACAAAACTTAGATCACTTGCAATGGAGTAATAATAATTGAGGAAGATATAAAATACAAATTACTAAAAAAAATTATTAACCTGGTGTGCATTTGCATGCTTGTGTGACTACAACTGCACAGCACAAGTGCAGCAGATCCAGTGGGGTCCCAATCACTCGTGCAGTGCAGCTCTGCATACCCAGAAAAACAGAAAAAGGAATTGGTGTCACTGTGTCCTCTGGTCACGAGGATCCACGTGGACACTGCAAGGTCATCAGAGGCTCCATAAAGGTGCAAAATCCAGCTGCCTCTGTGGCCTTCATCAGTACTCACAGATAGCTGTGAGGATTGTAGCACCGGAGGAAATGTCCCTCCAGAGAGCCCAGGGCCTGTTCTGCCCTGTTGGAGACGTTCATTAAGATTCGTTAACTGTCTCCACTGCCATTAAGACAAGCAGAAGCATAAGCCTGGGGAGATCAATGTTCCATAGTTGTGTTGTTTCTGGTTGTGTATTTCTTGCACTGTTTCAGCCCTGGATTGTAACACACTCTTTCTCTCTGTCTCTCTCCCCTCCCTCCCGTCTCTTTCTCTCTGCAGCCGGAGCAGCAGTGCTAGCAGCGCCACGAGCATCAGCCTCCCGAAACACCTGCCCCTGTCTCCCCAGATTCCGCCTCACCATTCCTCCGGCCCAGCTCTGCCCCTCTCCATCTCTAATCTTGCTACCTCGCACTTCTCTCTCAGATCGCAGACCCAACACCAGCACCATCCGGCCATGTTCGCCACCCCACCCACGCTGCCACCTCCACCAGCGTTACCCACCAACAGCCTCGTGATACCAGGGCACCCTGCGGGTAGGTCCCTTCTTCTGCCAGGGCTAATCGGCCGTGCATGCAACTGGAGGGTGTTGAGAGATGGGCTGGCTGGTGGGCAGGTGAAATACCTCGGCACAGACCCCTCAGTGTGTGCTGGAACTGTGACAGTGCTCATGAAACAGGTAGGAGACCTGGATGTGCTTTACCAGATGAGAGATTGTAGACACATCACTGTAGCTTCCTATAGGAAGTCTTCGAAGCCAATGCTTTAAAAAAAAAAAAAAAAGTCCTGTTCAGGGCGTGAGTTGTCCAGTGTGGCATTCCACAGTCATCAGACATTTTTTCAGATTAACAGAGAAGTGGTGTGCAGTTTGCCATTCTCCCCTTCTCTCTCCCCTCTGCTGAGAAAGCTGCTGCTGTTAGAACTGATGAGAAAATACTGTTTCTACAATTGTTCTAACTGAGCACTTGAATCCCCTGCCTGATCCTTCGATCAGCAGCACATCCTGCTGGCAGAGCTGGATCCTCTGCCTGCAGTAGCACAACTGCTGTGTGCCCATGGCTCCATGACTTTTCAATCTGAGTCAGAGACAGCTCAGCTGACAAGCTCTGCTGTGCTACTCTCACTATCTTTGCATCCTTTTAAAAGGTTTCCTTTGTTCACCCCGGCCCCCCATTCTATTGTCATTACTGCCCTAAATGCCCTGTTTATAGCTTATCCATTAGCCTACAGCTGTCCCTGGAAGAGACCCTGGCAGCTGGAGACTTCCCAGCAACTTTCACTTGCTGGGGCCTCCTTTTGATCTGGCATTTGACTCCACAACTAACTCAGCAGGGATTAAACAGGACAAGCATTTTGCAAAAAACACACTCTCTGTTTCCTATGAAGTCAGTTAAAGGAATAAGGAAATGACAGATTTGCTGTGGAAAAATCTGATGGTCTTCCATCCCCCTTTTTTTGCTTCCAGGAGCTAAATAATGTCTTGTTATTTATTACTGCTTCTTTAAGAGAAAAAAAAAAGTACGAATTGGTCCAAAGTGAGCTCTGAGAACGATGATAGACAAAAGTGCTGTGGGTTCCCTGCCAGAGACAGGACCACATAGGCCAAAGCTGGCGACTGTCACGGGCCCTGGCACCATCTAGAATTTCAACCACATGGCTGGGAAGATGTTGGCAGCACTGTGGGAGACCTATTCATTGCTTCCCCTGTTTAAGGCGAAGAACTACTGTGATGGAGACTTTGAAAGCATAGCGAAAGGAAATAGCAGAGGACTCACTAAAAGCATGATATTGCAGTCACTGAAAGCAAGTATGTTTTCACCATTAACTTCAGGAGATGCAAGATCAAGTGACCTATTCACATTCAGCAGCTTGCCAGGAAACGCTAACAGTCTTGCTCCTACTAAAAGGATTTCTCCTCCAATTTAAGTAGGAGAAGCCTAAGTTAGTGGAGGAAAAGGTCTGGATGTCTAACCCTGCAGACAGTGAAATGCCTCTTGTCTGCACTATATGAAATGCCTGCAAAGTGGCACATCATAAAATCAATACAGAGTGCTGCAGAGCCAGGAGCTTCTGTTGTCGTTCACATAAAACTTCCTTAAAAGCAAACAATATTGCTGAGCAGCCCTGAAGAGGGAGACAAGAATGCACTTCTGGTGGCATTTCTTCCTTTGGAAACCTAAAGTTAATACAAGTAACTTAAGAGCAGCCCTTGCTGAGCTTCTGCCATCTGCTCAAAGGCTGCCCTTGTGTAGGATACATAGAGGAAGCAGTGGTGTGTGTCTCTCCTCTCCTGAACGTGAGGGCACTGTGAGTGTCCTTTTTGTGCCATGCCCAGCTCATGTGTGCACACAGGACAGTGTTTGCAGGTCCCAAGGGCTGCTCGGGCACCCTGCTTGTGTTACTGTGTGACTGGACCTGACATCACTGACAGGTGCAAGAGCTTAGTTCAGACCCAGACATTGCTCAGAGCCCCTCTCGGAGCTGGGCTGTTCCTTTGCAATTCCATCCTTACTACGAGGCAGCCACTCCTCCAAGTGCCACACAGCTTCTCCAAACATCTCTAGGCCTTTTCTTCTCCTGACGGAGGCCAAAGTTGTGGTAGAGGGCTGTGGGCTGGAGCCAGCTGCAAATCTATCAGTCTGACTTCCAGTCTCTTAAAGAAATTGGATATCAGAGCACTTACAACTGCCAACTTGCTTTTATCTCCCCCTCCAGAAAAGTGGATTATCTTGATGCTAACAGAAGGATTCAGTTTCTTTAAGTCATGCCAGATTTAAAAGCGTCAACACACACACATGAAATCATGCTCATATTCTCTAAAGAGGTTAGGTTTTGGACCTAAGTGCTTTCAGCCTATAGTTTTTTTCTTATTTGCTCAATCCGAGGAGAACCCATTATAGACTCTTTTATTCCAGTGCCTTAGGCTTCAGTATCACAAAAATATATACTTTCTGCTTTTGTATTAATTATTATATGGATTGTAGCAGTACACAGTACCTGCTCTTAGCAGTACATTTACTAACGAAAAGCGAATGACTTAGGCACCCAAAATTTGCTTTCAAATGTGACTTTCGATTGTAGGCTTCTAAGTGACAGTAGAGACCTTGAAGTTCTCCATCAGAGTGCATGTTTTTAAAGATCTTAACCATGTCACTTCAGAAAGTGATTGATTTAGACATTTCTAATGGTACTGTAAAAAATTGAAGTGAAAGAAATCCTTGCAGAACATGAAATAAAACTTTAAAGTGCAGGTATTCTTTTGCCCCTTTCTGTTCAGAGCTGTAGTTTGAAGGGGTTGTTACAGTGAAAGAAGTGGATTCATGTAAATTCAGAAGCAAGTAGATCAGTCAGGACTAGGTTTGTGTCATCCACAGCTGGGGACACGGGTTGGTCTTTGCTTTAAAAATACTGAACATGTTGGATGCTAATCCCTGTGTGAAGTTTTTAGGCAAAGCCACAGATATATTTAATTGTTATACTAGCAGACATTTTGGAGAAGTGGACATTGGTCCTTACTGTCTTCAGTGACATCATTTCTAAAGCACTGGTGTCCTGAACCACATCCAATGCAAGTTGTTATTCCAGAGGAGGATGCTGAGAAGAGGCCACGTCATATGGTGGAACATTTTGTTTCAGCAGTCGTTGCAACCTTGCTGAGATCTTCAGCTACTTCGATGTTTGTCCTCTTCCCACTGATTCATCCTCTGTATTTTCTCAGAGGAGAAAAGCCTGAAGGCAATGACAAAAAACAAGAATTACAGCCTGTTACAAATTGAGGAAAGGACTGGTTGCTATTTAAGATCTCGATAAAAAACTTACTGCAAGGAAGGCCTTGATTTATAGGATAGATGTTTCTGGTCATTGTGTGCATGTCCTGGGGCTGAGAAGAGGGGATGGCACAGGGATGGATGTGTGAGCAGGCAGTTTCCAGCCACCCAAACCCACGGTTATGTCATTGCACTGCAGATCTTACCAACATTTTACCTGTGAAGTATGTATATGTCAGAGCTTAACACACATCAAATTCCAGTGTATGTGTGTGTGTGTGCCTCTGACTGTCACACGCCCAGAGGATGAAGGTCAGTATTACGGTTTTGAAGTGAGCTGTTGGCCTCCAGGGCACTCCCCAGCACCTCACTGGTGCAGGAAGGTGCAGCTCCCGTGAGTCTGGGAGGTGTGATCCCAGAGGTGAGGCTGCACCTCTGAGGTGTGATCCCAGAGGTGAGGCTGGATCTCTGAGGTGTGATCCCAGAGGTGAGGCTGGATCTCTGTGGTGTGATCCCAGAGGTGAGGCTGCACCTCTGCAGTGTGATCCCAGAGGTGAGGCTGGATCCCTGAGGTGTGATCCCAGAGGTGAGGCTGGATCCCTGAGGTGTGATCCCAGAGGTGAGGCTGGATCCCTGAGCAGGTGCTGGGAGGACAGGGCGGGCGGGCGCGGGCGGCGGGCGGGCCGGGCGGAGTGCGAGCCCCGATGATGTTTTCTGCTGTGATGACTCATGGTGTTCTCTCTTGTCTTTAGATACCAGCCTGTTGATATCATTCAACCAACCAATCATGTATTGCCAGCCTCATTCGGGGATTCTGATTGGTACTTTGTCACAGGCATCTCTCTTACCTCCACCAATGAGTCCTCACGTAGAAAACCACCACAGCATGACCTGCAGAAACAGGGAATGCCAGGTGAATATTGACTCTTTCTCCTCCGTCTTTGTGGTACTCACAGGCCCACGGGCCTCTGTGTCTTTTTTTTTTCTCTCTCTCTCTCCTCTAGATCACGAACTGCTCAGGCAAGAGCTGAACAACCGGTTTTTGGTTCAGAGTTCGGACCGGGCCGCTGCCTCACTTGGCCCGGTGCCGCTGCTGAGAGCGGAGTTTCACCAGCACCAACACACGCATCAGCACCAACACACCCACCAGCACACATTCACTCCTTTTCCATCCAGCTTGCCCCAGACGCCGCTCATGCCGCCCTCTGCACCTCCCATGGTGCGTACCCCAGCCCAAAATGTGAGGATAAGTAGAGCATCTCTGGTCAAAAAGCCTAACCCACTCTTGTCAAACAAAACCCAGCCCTCTTCATTTCAGCCAGGTGTGCTGTCCCTGCCCTTCCAGCCTGGAGGCCAGCACTCCCAAAGGGACCCCCTTTCTATCCAGAGCCCCCACACCAAGCCTCCTGGTCCCCCATGCTGCTACCTGTGAGCAGATACAGCACCCACGAGACAAGTCCAGAATCCCCTTTGTTTTCCTTTTCATGTGTCCTGCTGTGTATTTCTATTCCCCCTTTCCCAGAGCCAGCTGCCTTGACACATCAAAAGACACCAACCAGAATGCCACAGGACAAGTGGCTTCCAGCCCCAGCCACTGTCCCCACAACTGCTGGGTGCAGGGCAGACCGTGCTGGCTTACCCAGAGCTCTCACCACAGTGCAGCATCTCATCCAATACCAGTTCTGTCCCTCTTCCTCCTAATACCTGATCTGTATTGATTTAGGCATTTTATTACTTGATTACATCAACAAGCGCTAATTTGTGTGTGGCTGGTTCTGCTGGGAGAGATCCTCCTGCCCGTGTAATAAGCATTTGGTCATTGAATTTGCTTGTAACACAATGGGACTTGGCTGCAGCTGTTACAAAATTGTTAGAGATCTGCTACAAATGGATTTTGTCAGTACTTTAAAACGCACTCTCTCCCCATTTCTGGCAATTACTTTGTGAAATTGAAAGCACAAGATTGAGCTTTTTTCCCCCTCTCAGTTTCACACTGTGTCCAAAATGCAGAAACAACCCTATTTAAGGCTAGCAAAAACAGCCTTTGGGAAGAACTACCAAGGACTCAAGGAGCATATAGTGTTTCCCACTTTTCTTTCCCACTGCTGTCTGCTTGATGACATTCTTGGGTTGTAATCTGCTTAGCAGCAAGACAATTAAAAGCAATATCATCCACTGAAAATCCAGCCCCAGGTGTTTGCTCAGTGTACTTGTGTGTAAACACCTTTCCTTCTTTGCTTGGTCTGTGTAAAACAATCCTGAATCTTTTCTCAGAAGTCTCCTGTGTTATTTAAGAACTGTGATACCCAAGCTTAGGAGCAGCTCCCTCCCCTCCCATGCCCATTGATGTCAGCCCTCAGACCAAAAACAACTTGCAAGGTTCTTTTGTTATATTTCATTCACATCTTCTTATATTCCACTAGATCAGGTCTGCTAATCCCAACACCAGAGAAGAGTGTTGAAATTACAGCTGCATGTGTTTGGTAATTTATGGTATTTACACTGGAGGGGACATGGCTCCAGTAATAACTGTAATTAATGAAATTACAAATCTACTCTCCTGCACATAGAGGAGTGTGAAACAGCAGCTGACTTGCCAAATAAGCAGCTTTTCCTGGGGTCCTACAGCTCCCTTCCCTGCCTTCTTCCCCATTCCCTCCTCCCCAGCAGAATGTACATACTGTTCAGAAATGCAATATGTGTGTGCTTTGGGTTTGCTTCTGAGATGGTCAACAGGACAAACAGGGCACAGACTACACACATGGAGGTGTTAAAACCCCATGCTGGAATTGAGAAAGTTTGCAGCCACCATTTCTCTGGGGAACTCTCCCTTTTGCAGGGGAGGGGGAATATATCGAGATTTGTGTATCTAAAGTAATTTAGCCCTTCCCCAAAGAATTTTGGTGCTTACAGGATCCCAGGAAACTGGGAATTGGTATTGGCTGCCCCACAGTAGATGTTGGGCTCTAATGGAAAATGTTTCTTACCTGCTAGTCTGTGATCTAGTTCAGCGGGGCAGATCCCAGACCTGGACCTGGAGCTGAACTTCCCTGTGTTTCACTGTGCTGCTCTCTTCCCAGAGCAGGAGCCTGTTCATGCAGTGCCTGAGACAGGGTTCTGCATTGAGCCTTGGCAGTGCCCAGCGTGGCCTGGGGGCTCCTGTGTGTTAGCCCGGGGAAATCATTCATGTCCCCGCTGAGCGAGTATGGAATAACCAGTCAGTTCTGCTCTGTTAAACGCTTACACACGGGCCATGATTATTTGTCTATGTTGAGATCCTGATGTGTCTGCTACTGCCAAAACCAAACTCACCTGTTCCCTTTTTTTTCTCTTTTCTTTCCAGTTTGACAAGTACGCTCCCAAATTAGACAACCCTTACTTTCGACATTCCAACGTGAGTGCTCACCTTTCTCGTTGGTTTCTTTGTTAATGGTTCTGCTTGCTCTTCTTTTGCTTGTTTTCAATTGATGAGTAGTGTTTTGATCCATTCATTTCTAAAGCTCTTTTTCCGTCTTGATTTTTATGTTTTTAAGGTACCAAGTTTTCTTTGGGCTTTTTTTTTTTTTTTTTTTTTAATTCTCTGTCTCCTGCATTTTTGCTGCTGCGGCTCTGTATCGCTGTGCCTGGGATGGCAGGGAATGCGCAGGAATTGCTCAGTCAGTGGTCATTGCAGTACCTTTGCAGCTGGTGCTTCTCCCAGTGCAGCAGCCCGGAGTGCATGGCTCTTTCACAAGGTTTTGCTCAGGTCACAGGAGTAAGGCAGACTGGTGGTTTCTTCCTGGTGCTCCCCACTGCTCCAAAGCACAAAAAAAACTACATGTTTTGGGACTTGTAAAACTGCTGTGTGTGCTCAGGAGAGGCCTAAGCAAAATTTCACCCAGGCTACACAACTACAAGGTGGTGTGCATGTTGCCTGTGGTTAGAGTGCAGTGCAGCATCTTGTGGTTCCTTTTGCTTTAAAAATTAAAGCAGGTCACATTTCAAAACAGGATCAATTTTTTTGCAACAGCAGAAAAATGCAAAGTTAATGGAAAGTGAACATAAACCCCAAATTATGCTCTGTGCTTCCTGCAATAGTCCACAATTTTTAAAGGCACACTTGTTCAGCACTATCTAGAAAATTTACCGGATGAGTGCATTTTTCAAGTTTTGGCTTTGCTCTTAAAAATTTTGAAAGCAAATTTATTGTGTATTTTCACTGTGGCACTTGTTCAGCACAGTACTATTTTTGTATGTGCCAGGCTTGGCACTTACCTCCATTATTGTTCAAGTCATCCTGTGACATAAGCATCTCTTTTTCTTTTGTAGTTCTTTCCAACCTATCCTCCAGCAATGCCTGGAATGCCACCCATGCTTCCACATTCAGGTCCCTTTGGGTCACTTCAGGGAGCATTTCAACCGAAGGTACAAACTTCTTCTTCTGAAGGCTTTGTTCTTTTGCTGGGAGAGAAACTGTGTTCAGAGTCTTGTCTCTGGTGATTTGCAGCACATGATTTAACTAGCAGAAGTGCAGCACAGGGTTGGAAAGGATCACCCTGCAGAACTGTGAGCATCCTCTGCACAAAGCAGCCAACACTTTAGCAGAAATTTTCTCTTGGCACTGCAGATCCTTCCTTGGAAAGGATGTAGTGGTTCACTTGGGAGGTCTGCTGAAACTGGAGGAGAAGCCTACAGTGAAGTGCATTATTTTGATTGAAATATTTACAGCTCATAATAGACCGATGAGTCCCAAATCATTTTATAAATCTAATGGTCTGAGATTGCAAAATACAAACTGTGTTTATTCCCAGAAAAAACAATGAGAATTTGACTGCACAAGTGTGGGAACAATAGGGAGAGACTGCTGGAAATGGGTAGAGCAATTTGAAGGAGCTGAATTTTTATTCTCAGTTCCAACACTGTCTGACCTTGGGCAAGTCGCTTAAACCTTCTGTTCCTCAGCTTCCTCATCTATAAAGTTATCTTGCAGTGGCTTTTATAAGGGTTGATTAATGCCTGCAAGCTTCTTTGAGATAATGTGTTTGAAAAGTGCACTGCAGCTGTAACATGTCATTACAACTAGCACTGATTGACATTTGGAAATGTTGCCATCATAACCCCCATTTTTGGCAAATTCTATGGTGTGCACTGCTTTTTTTTTTCCCTCCCAGACATGTTCTTTTTATTACCTATTTTTAAATGTAACAAAACTGCTAAATCTCACCAAACAAGAAATAATGGATTGTATATATAGCATTTGTTTGAAAATGGAGCATATACTCCATTTGTAAGGTGACATGTTCAGCTTCCTTACATGCTGTGATTTTAGAGATTTCTTACCTTGAACTGCATTTCCATAGAACTCTGCTACTGTCTAAGAAGGCTTGAAGGACCAGCACTGTAGCCAGGCCATTCCTGTTTGCATTTGGAAGGTGATTTCCATACCCACACCAGGCAGGTCTGGGGAATGTGCTTCCCTCACTGACCCCAGTGGAAGTCAGTAATTAGCAGCTGCTGCAAATAAGGCCTTTTACAACCTTCCCCCTTAATGCTTTTAATGGAAGCCAGAGGATTTCCTCAGTGCCCATTGAATCCTTGACATTATTTTGTTTAGGGATGCATTACAAATAGCAAAGTCTCTAAAATGGCTTTGTTCAGGGGCAGTTTTGTATGTGGTGCCTGCAGGCCTAGAGAAGGAGCAGTTCATGGAAGCAGAGGGAGCAAGAGGGACTGAACCTGGCCATCCCTCGATGGAGTTTGTCTGCCAGTGTTAATTGTTGTTACTCATGCAAGGGATGACAGGGAGTCCCTACAGACCCTGAGTAGTAGACTTGACTTTCCAGGAAAAGGAGCTGCAGGAATAAGGTGGAATTGGACAAATTTTGCTCACGTGCAGGCAGGGCTGTTTTGCCATAAGGCTCTTTCCTGTTCATGAGGAGCTGCTGCTACACCAATGGCACTTTCTTCTGTTTTCCATCTTCACTACAGAGCTTCACAGATCCTGTCTCACTGTTAAATACTATTAGGCCAAGGAGCAGTTGCATAGTGAGAAGGAAGAAATGAGCACAGACCCTTTACATTTCTAAGCAGTTCCTAGTGCTGTTATAACTGCCTTGTAATTCATTTTAGATGCATCCCACATTTGCTAGCTTGAGTTTAGGCAGTGCAAGGTCACACTCTGGTGCTGTGGTTAATCACTGACATTTAATCTCTGCACAGTGCAGTATTTACATACAATCTAACATTTGAAAAAGAGAGGGATAGGTTGAAAAATGGATCTGCTGCTTTGGCACATTACTTTTCAGTTTCCCAGAGGAGGCAGAGCTGAACTCTAGGCAAAGTCACTCCAGTCATTGTTACTGCATCGTTCTTCCTTGGTCTCTCCCTCCCAAGCTGTTTGACTAAAGCCTGCATAATCACTACAGACCTGATGATTTGGCTTTGGCACTCTGACTCCTGCACTTCTTGCTTTCCAAAGCAGAGATCTTGGTTTTGTTTTTCCCCTTCCCATGTCATTTGCCTACAGCTGTGCATGTGAGTCCACTGCACATAAATCCAGGCTGACGGTAAATTTCTCAGTGAGTTTCCTGAAGGCCATTTCTCACAAGCTAAGAACTTGAAAAGGTCAGAAGTATTCAGTTTACTTTGCTGGAGGAAGCATTCACATCTTTCTCCAGGGGACAAAGGGACAGGATGACACCATGCTATTAACATGTTGTGATCTTAAAGCTCTTGCCTGTATGAAAGCTGTAACTTATTTGCCACCTTATATCTACCTCAGCTGTCAGGGATGCCCTGAGAGCTCTGATCTGCCTGGGAGTGCATTGACTTACCTACACACACACGAGAACTCGCTTTTTAATGAGGCTGGAAGTTATGTAGCCTTAGACAAACTAAAACCTACCTTCCCTCCCACACCCAGGATTACACTCATGCCTTGTGGTGTTTGAAATCTGCTATAATTTGACCTAAAACATGAGTGAAATAATCTCTTGGGGAATGAGGTTGAACCCCTCTGCACTCAGCTGTGCAGAGGCACCAGGTGCAGTTGCTGTGGGAGTGGGAGATGGATGGATGCCGGAGTGAGGAGATGAACGAGTTCTTGGGGATCGTCTAGGACAGGACAACAGGTGGGATCCAGAGGAGGAGGAGGAGGAACAGAGATTTGTTCAATGAGGTGTTTAATTCTTGCTGGAAAATGATGGGGTAAACAATGCAAAGCTATAAAAGACCCACAGGCACCTTCTAAGGTTTCTCATTTTTGCCTTGTCGAAGCAAATAGATGGGCTGTTGCTGGTTCAGGCATTGTTACCTGGCCCCAGTCAGAGAGGGGCCATGGTCCAGTGTGTGGAATATGGGACTGGGATGCTCGAGTTATTCTGTTCCTGACTGCTGTGCTGGTTGCTGCCTGGAAAATGGAGGGACTCAGGCCACATCTCTCGCTCTCTCTCCTACCTCCTGCCTGTTTTGTCTAAAGAATAAGCTTGGGGGGCAGGGATGTCTCTTCCCGTGCACATGCACAGCACAACAGGGTGTGATCTCAGCGGGGCTTAGGGGTGCCACTGGAATACTGTTACTGCTGCTCAATAATAATAAATGACATGGTGGTTAAATGCTGTTGGCTGTCAGTAAGAGATAACATTTAGCACTAATGTAGCAATATGCGTGTTCAAAGCACAGTGCAAACATGGACTAATTAATGCTGTTAACATCAGATAGAGATGTTAAATGCACCACTGGTGTGATACAGTATTATTCACGCTCTCCTCTTGTCTTTCAGACTTCAAACCCTATTGATGTAGCAGGTAGACCAGGCACAGTCCACCATACGCTGCTGCAGAAGACTCCAGGGGTAGGCAACAATATATAAACGTCTTTTCAGCTTATCTGGGTTTACAGTAAACACAGTGATTGCTGATAATAAAAGGAGAGCAGGCTGGTGAGCAAATTGGCCTTCTAGACTGGGAGAATGCAGTGAGGAGAGAAGTTGTCTTTTCCTGGTGAGACAGTAATCTCCACCAGTCATGAATTCAAAGGGATGTATTGGCTTCTTTCAAAAGTCGGAGGAAAATGGGGCAGGAGACCCCTTCAATGTCTTACCTCTAAGTATTGCTTGGAGAGTAGTTTTATGTGCTCCATTTCAGAATAATTACAAGGTTCAGAAAAGCACTGGCACTGTTCAGTTGCTGGCATGAAGCTGCTTTGTTTATCATAAAATTCTGCTGAGTTTGGTTCAAGGAATGAAAGAGAAGTTTTAAGCCTTCTTTAAGCCTTTTAGATTTCCCGTGTCACAGGGGACTTCTCTGGAACATTGCTTTCTAAATGCTTTTACTTGTTCAGAGGAAGAAAGTTCCCCACCTTTCTATATATTGGCTAGTCTTAGAAAGACTGATTGTTTTATTTCTGCTTTTTCCATAGGTGTCAGACCCTTACAGGCCTCCAGTAAGAGTAAGTAAGGTTTGTGGGGGATTTTATATACATATTTATGCACGGACACTTGGAATATTATGCATGTGCTTTTGAAATTTAATATGTCCAGTAGAAAATTTCATGCTCATCCTTTACTTAAAGCAAAATGTCAGTTAGCTGTCTGCCACTTCTGATTAATAACATTTAGGTTGAATCCCAGCCTTATTTTGCATCCATTTATGTGCATTAATAGTTCACAGTATGAAATGAGGGTCACAGAAATAAATGACTGTGAGCATGGGCAGACACTCACCAGTGAACAGATTCGTGGTGACTTAGGTCAATGTGCTGATGTTCCACATAAACAGTGGAACAGTGAGTACCACAGCTCAGCTGAAAATAGGGACTTGTTCAGCTGTGGCACTGCTCATCCTGGGGATTGTTTGTCCCTACCCTTTCCCTCCCCAAAAGCCAGTAGCTGTAATAACCACGCATGACTTAGCCTGCAGTGCAGCAGGGGTGAATGAACAGGGCTCCTTTCAGAAACAGAACTCTGAACCATTAGTTGCTTTCTCTTAAGCATGGCATACTGTTCCTTGCTGCCATTCATTTCAATTTGGGAAGGGGGGAGTGCGAGTAGGAAAGAACAAGGCAGGATCTCAGATGTCCATGAGATGGGGAAGATATCCCACATTCTTCCTGTTTCCTTCTTAATTTAAACATCATCTGCTGCAGTGCAGAAGCAAATGTTGATCACCCATTGTGCCATTTTAGTAATCAGCCTTTCTCATTGCTTAGCTGCCTGGTTGACAGTAAGGGAAATGAAATGTTCTATCTGATGTAGATTGCTAACGTATGAATTAATCTAAATTCTTGTGCTTTCCACTGCAGAAACCCGGGAAGTGGTGTGCGGTTCATGTACAGATCGCCTGGCAGATCTACCATCACCAGCAAAAGATAAAGGTAATTCACATGGTTTCTGGAACAAAGCCAAGTCTTTTAGCTTACAGATCATATTTGAGTGAGTAATGGGCAGGAAGCAGTTACTGTGGTGATTCTCAAACTTGCCTGTATTGATTAACTAATACTTACACTCCTTTAACATTTATTGTAGCAACTGTAAAGTTTATCTGAGGGCAGAGGAGGTGGATGTGTAGCCAGAAAGAGGGGAAGAAAGTGAGGGGCAGAGTAATTTCCCCAAGTCAATAGTTTTTTTACAAAGCATGCGCGTTTAATGTCGCTTCCCTTCTGCATTAGTACCTCCTGTGGAGGAGGTAATGAAATGGCCGATGCAGTGAAGAACATTACAGAGCACAGAGCAGGAGAGTAGATTGATAACATCAGTGTTAGAGGTTGTGGGGCTTCCTGTGCTGCTGTGCTGGTGGGCAGAGGGAGGGGGTTTAACACTCAAGAGGTAACAGGATGTTTGGTACCCTGGGGTGCTGTTGCAGGCTTGAATCTCCCAATGGCAGGTAGAATAGCTGATAAAGGGACTCGTGTAGATTTTATTTTTTCATAGCTCCTGCAGTAGTTCTTTTGTCCCATTAATGAAGGCTATTCCCTCCTTAAGTAGGTGCCTCTGGAGAGGGTGTATGTCCATATATTTTAATAAGCAAATACATAATCTTTAAGCTATTGATAGGCTTCTATGACTAAGGTGCAGATCTGGCCATGCTCACTTCTACAGGACAAGGATAAAAACAGTCTCTGGAGGAGCCTCATAGCTTCCTTCATCCTTTGCCCTTTGCCTGCACACTGAGCTGTCCTGGCTGCAGGAAGGGCATAGTCTGGGCACGTCTCTCTCAAACTGGAGAGGCAGAAGAGACAAGCCCATCACCCAGCTCTTCTGTCAGCAGCTTTGTGCCTGCAGAGTATTTTTTGTCAGGCTGAGAGAGCAGACTGCTCCCGGGGTGCCGTGCTCTCAGTGTGTCATGTTCCTGCTCCAGCATGTGCTGAGGGGCTGTGTGCTCCCTGCAGACCTTCCCTGGGATGGGGCAGGCAGCTGAGAGGCTGCAGGCTGGGCTGGCCCTGCAGAGCCTGGCAGAGCACGGCACGACTGCGCTGTGCGGCCGGGGACGCTGCTGTCACTCTCCCTAACACTCCCTGGCAGGGCTGAGGAGGAATGAGCCTTAACTCCCTCTCTTGTTCTCCCATAAAAAAAGGAAGTGTATAATGAGATTGGTTTTATATCATTTGACAGCAAATGCAGCTGGATCCCCACAAGCTTGAGATAGGTGGTAAACTTGACCTATTCAGCAGACCTCCCGCCCCTGGAGTGTTTCCAGGCTTCCATTATCCACAAGATCTTGCCAGGCCTCTGTTTTCTACCACAGGTAAGGGAAGATCACTCCTTGTTGATTTTAAAAAACAAAAAACAGCAAGAAACAGTCAGTGTATGTCATGCATGCCTTTACAGCTACATATGCTTAAAAAATAGAAGCAAGGTTGGTTCAAGGGGTGCAGAGACACTGCTGTGACCAGGGCTCTGCCACCACCTCCAGTGCAGGATCCTCTGCACATCACTGAGCTGCAGCAGTTGGCTCACAGTCCTGTCTGTGCAGCTGGTTCTTATGTGCCTGATTAATAGGCTATAGAGTGATGTTTTAAAAGTGATTTTGACAAAACACTTGAAAATGTTTCCATTGCACAGGATTGGAAGTGGCCCCAGACTCTTCCTTGCTTTTATATTTGCCATGTTATTCTTCTCAGCTCCTCCACTCACCAAGTTTCTGTTTGTTTTCTGAAAACAAGGGTTTTTTTGTAAAAGGAAAACTTCAATAACAGCATTGAAAATATCACAGAAGGTGTATTTGTTAAGTGTTCGTTTTTTAAATAGAAAATTCCCCTATGCATTACAAAGTTCAGCAAAGTCTGAGGCTTAAAGTGATATATTGAATTTACAAAAAGCCCCAAAGAATTAAAGACAATTTACACTGATCAATTGTTTTCCAATCTGTTGGAGAAGTAATTACAATTGTGCAATTACCCAAGGACAGTAACCTTCACTGTGTTGTTCTCGATGGCTCTGACCATGGGAGACTGCAGCTCTCACATTCTGGTCTAGGAGGCCAGTGTGAATTCATGTGGACATCTGTCTACCAAATGCCAAATGTTGTTTTTATTCTCAAGCTTAACTTTCCCCTCAACTTCTTTTCTCTCTATGTTTGAGATAGCGAAGTCTGTGTTCTGAATGAGCTGCATGAGTTGACAAGATGTAACTTAGCTCTTTATGTATGTAATTAATTGGCAAATAATGTAATTTTCTTCCCTACTGTTACTCTTGCTTTATGATGCAATATTGCACAATCACCCTAACTCAGTGCAGACAGGATCATATTCAGCCTTGTTTCAACCCTGTTGAAATTAATAATGTTAAAACTGTTTTGAACTCTGTCCCAAAAATGACAGAAAAGCAACAGATGACGATCAAGCTGAAATTTCTATGAGAACTGAGTTTCAAATGCAGATGCCAAGTAGCCCTCAGGAACTCCACCAATGCGTCAGTCTGTCTTTCTGCTCTGTGGATGGGAATTCTTAAGCATCAAATGCACATTTCTACCAGACATTATCAGTGCTAGTACCAGTTCTACCTTGTAGGGTGCCACCCTGTGTTTTGGTCTCTATAAAGGTGCTGTGATAGTACAAGGCCAAGATACTTATTGCATCTGCTTGGATGCATAAGAAGTGCTTATTTACAAACCTCTGGCTATTTTCCTGTGGCATTTATGTTTCCTTATCACTGTCCTCAGTCTGTCCTGTCCTGTCATTACAAAAATCTTGTTTCATGTCTGGTTTTGCTACTGAAGGTTGCTTCTGGACAGAGTTACCCTAACAGGCAGAAAAGAACCAGTGCAGTTGGTATCTGGAGTTTTTTCCCTTAAAAGATGCAAGCATGGCTTGCTTTTCATTCGTAAAAGCAAGAGGGGAAATAGTATGAAATAGAAACATTAGAGAAGGCAAACTAATAGAAAACTTTCAGTAGAGAGAAACAACTTAGAGCAACCTGTCTGTGAGTATATTAATCACAAGAGCCATCACACGGTAAATCCATGTAAAGAGTGCTGTCAACGTGAGCAAACACTGCAGCTGGAATACGTGGAGGAATAAATCTTTTACTCTGGAATATCTGAGGCATTCTTTTCACCTTACTGAGCACGTGTGCAATTGATGTGAATCATTGGTTCTGCTGCATTGCCTGGTTACTGGGGGAGACATAAGTTATCTTAGGGCCACCTGTCTCCAGGACGGATGCTGGGCTGCCTGGCAGACGGTCTATTTAATAACTGCCTGACAGCCTGCAATGCTGCTCCTGGCTTTCTCCAGAGGATTTTTTATTATCAGCCCATGTAGTGGAGTTTGTAAGCCGTCTCCTTTGAAGAAATCTCCCATCCATTATACACCTCCTGAAATCTTAAAGGATTAGAAAGATGACAGTCTCCATCCGTCTTGAAGCATTGGAGCAGTCAGATTGTTTATAAAGAGGTACTAGATAGGTCTCGTTGCCATGGTCTCTCTTAAGTTTCTTCAACTCATTTTCTGGCTGCTTAGGTTTGAGGTGCCCAGGCTGGTGAGGGACACAGAGCTCTGCCTCCCCCTCAGGTTTCACAGTTTGCTCATGTTCTGGACACGAGTGTGTTTCACAGCAACCATCAGGGGTTGGGCTCTGTGTCCAAGGAAGGCCAGGTCGGGGGCTCACCAAGTACCCCAGTGACATGTGACACCAGTGCTTTTCACACTGAGCTTGTGAGCTCCTTCAGATCCACATATGCCTGCCTGCAAAGGAAGAAAATCTCTCATTTTCTGCTCTGAAAGGAGAGCAGAGTTTTCTGCATGAGCCTGGTCCACCTTGAAATACAGGGCAGACCTGCTTGTTTCCCCCCCTTCCTTCCCATCTCCTCAGCCTCGTGTAATCCAGCATGCTCAGCAATGTTCTTTCCCACGAGGAGCATGGCACCATGGCAATGAGCAGTGTCTAGGAAAGGGAAAAAACACCAGGGGGGGAGCCTGTGGATGCAGAGACAGATGTGAGAGCGTAGCTGGAGCTCTCATGGGAGAAGCATGATTGATGTTCCCTGCGTGCCTGTCATTAACTGGTGTTTCATACAGACTCTAATCAGTTGCTTCCGAGCACCTTCTGTCTGGGCCCATAACCTGGGCTGACCCTTTTTAATGTAAACATGGAGTAATGACTGAAAATCTCAGACAAAGAGCTTGGCTTCCTCGTTACTCCAGGTGAGCAGCAGCTCTCAGTGCCAGGGCTCCTCCTGCCTCCTAGTGCCCTGTTAGTCTCCTTGGTAGGGCTCCCAGGGAAATCCAGCCTGGTGCTCACTCGGCTGAGCTTTGGGGTCTTCCTCTGCCTTTCTTGGTTAAATATGGCCTTTGCATCCAGCTCTTGAATGGGATGGCCAGGAGCTCTGTGTACACAAGGAGTCACTTGCCCCTGAACTAAAAAGGGACCTTGTTCTCACAGGTGCGACACATCCAGCCACCACCCCTTTTGGTCCCTCACCTCACCACAGCAGCTTCCTGCCTACAAACCACTTGGCAGGTAAGTGTAAGTAACCCTGCCTTCACCTCTGTACCTCTGCCCCCTTCCTGGCTCTCAGTGTGGTCCTGCACTGTCCCACTGGGGGAGGGAAAGGCTTTAACTGCCTCAGGATCCAGAAGCTGGCCAGCTTCTCATCCCTGCCAGCTCCTAGCACATCCCCTCACTGTGCCCCAAAGGAGAGGGCAGTGCAGAGCTGTCACATCTGGCACTGCTGGGACACTGCACCAGAGCCAAACTGTGACCTGTGCTCCTGAATGTGCCTGAAGAAATGGGGGAAATTTGTGCAAAGATACCTCAGACAAGCCTCAGCTTAAAATGGGCTCCTCCTGTACCATTTTCCACCTATGAAAGGTCTTGACTAGGCTCTTTAAAAGAGTTCAGGGAACACTTCCTGGCAAGTAAATGTTCTGCACATTTTGCCAGCCTTTCAGTTTCCTAATTGGCAGTAAGTAGAGCCTGATTTTGTCAAATTTCCTCATTTTAGAAGCTCACAAGCAGCTCATTGCCAATTAAAGTTCAAGCTCTGTTGATTAATGTTTTAGTAACATTCATCCAATCAGTAAATGTGGCATGCCACATGACCTAGTAGACTTTTCTCTTGCAAATACCCAGATTTACATCAATTCCTGAACATTCTGTCAAAATTAACTATCTCTACCGAGTCACTCAGCCACTTAAGATCAAAGAGGAAGGGCAAGAACATCTATTTTAAAATAAGTAAATAAGCAAATAGCTGTTTGCTTAAAGATACAAGCTATTTGTGCCATTTGCTCTTATATTTTAAATGTGATATCTGTGAGGAAGTGGAGAGCATCATTACCTCCTGTAACATGGCAAGTTAAGGGCTTGAAGGGGACAGTCAAAAAGCCAGTGGGCAGGAAGAAGAGTTGTTTAGAGATGATCAGTAGGAAAGAAAACAAGTACACTGGTAGGATTTAACCCATAGCTGTCTCTGGAGTGTGGAAACCTGAGATGGGCTATGTGCTCTCCGAGAGGAACCTCTTCTGGTGATGGGTGCCTTTACTGGAAAAAAAGTGCAGAAACAAGACAATGCTCCTCAATGCTGGCCGAGGGGCCTGCTGAGATTCTTCTTTCAAGGCAAATGCAATGTTTCTGCTATTAATACTGATAAGGAAAGAGAGTTATAGCTCAGTAGCCACCCTAATTTCAGCTATTAGGCCTTAATTTCTAACTCACTTCTGACTCACATACTAAAGTTTATTACAGCACCTGTTTGCAGAGTGAGCACTGAATCCCTTCTCCATTTTAACATGATGGGAATTTTCTGTGCAAAGAACCTTGCAATGAGAAGGATCAGCTTAAAGTCTGGCCTAATCCTACTTGGATTCAAACCGTTAAGAAGGGGAGGGGTGTGTTTCATTCTCCAACATTCTTGGCTAAATGCCTGCTAAATCCCTGTTTGCCTTTCCAGATCCATTTAGCAGGTCAAGCACCTTCAGCGGCCTTGGGAACTTAGGCAGCAATGCCTTTGGAGGATTAGGCAGTCATGCTCTGAGTAAGTACTGGCTGGGTTACTGCAGACAAACATCCCTTCCAGAAAAGCCACATGCTAATATTTACAGCAGCTGGTGGTAGTTTTTAAAGAAGTTTAATTCCTAACCTCCATTCTCCTATCTGAAAACACTGCACCTAAGATTTCCAGGTCTCTGCGGTGGGAGCTTTTCTGCATGTCACAGAGATCAGTAGCTGTGCTCTGTGCCTCCTCACTGCTGAGGGTTGCTACCTTGTGTGCTCAGAGAGACACTGGAGCTGCAAAACCCCACCGAGCTCTGGGACCCTGTGGGCACCTAAAGTAACACCCTTCACCAGCGAAGATGCACAGTGGAGCAGCTATTGATACTTCTTCTGATTTGTGTAGACTTCCTCTGTAGCTGTTGGCTGGAGTTTAAGTTACCTGTATGAAATAATTCTACTTCAAAAACATGTTACCTGTAGGTGAAACATGCTTGAGAGCCACACATAAGAGAGCACATAAGAGAGCATGCTTGTGCATCTCATGGTGCAACAGGAATCAGCTGAAGATGGATGGAGGAAAATCGAGTGACTGTTCTGAAAAGCCTTACAGCCAAGCTCTGTGTTTGTACACACACACACACACACCACCAAATAGTCTGGGTTTTCAACAAAAAAGTCCCTGAAGCCTCAGCTGCAGGCAGCTGGTTGCTTGTAACTACCCACAAATTAAAGTTTCTGCCAGAGAGAGGAGCTGAGGAAAAATACTGCTTTTGTGCTGGAGCCCTTGCCTGGGGTGGGGGGAGAAGAGAAGCTGGGCATTTTCAGTAGTCTCTGAGTTACTGAAATGTATAAAGCTTCCTCCAACAACAGCCTTAAAAGAGCTGGTGGATCTTACACCCAGTGTTGGAATTATCTGCATCCACTCACTAGTAGCTCCCCCTCACCATTAAAAATCCTTAAAAGAACAATTCTGGTTGTGACTAATATTGTGAAAAATGTCTGCATAATGGTTTGCTTTGAATTATTTTTAACTCTTCCTCCCCCTGCCATTATTCTAGCTCACAACAACATTTTTACTCACAAAGATGGCCCAAACCTGCAGAATTTCAATAACCCCCATGAGCCATGGAATAGACTCCACCGGACCCCGCCGTCCTTCCCAACACCTCCACAGTGGCCCAAGCCCACGGATTCGGAGCGAAGCTCCTCGGTGACAAACCATGACAGGGACAGGGAGCGGGAGCCCGAGAAGAGGGATCTTTCTCTGAGCAAAGACGACAGAGACAAAGAGAGGTGAGCACTCTGGGCTTCTCACCACTTCCTCCTGGGTCTGTTTTTCCTCTATATTTCTTCTGTTTTCCATAAAATGTTGCTGATCCTTAAAGCAGCTGATAGGCCTTTTCCTCAGATAAGCACAAGTACTAGCAACACCAAAAAACTCCTTTTTGCCTTTTAGGATTTTTCTTCTGTGGAAATTGGGTAACCCAGTCCCTGCTAGTCAGTTAACAAAATGCACCAGGCTGAGGAATTGAGTGTGTTGCTGTGTTTTCAGTGTACTGAAAACATGTTTGTTTCAATGCAGCTGCTTTAATATTGCTGTGTATTCTGAAACTGTGATGGGTCCTTTGGAACAGTCATAGTTCTCATTAATGTACAGATATGCTGATGAATTCAAATGTTAGCTGGACATTAACGAGATAAAAATGCAAATGCCTGTATCTGGAGCAGTGTGCATAAATCCATTAGCAAAACTGATTTTTAAAAATTGCATTGTGGGCAAACCCTTATTAACAATGACAGGCCTGTATCACCTGGGCTATAGTTACTTCATTAGCTCCCAGTTATATGATTTTGAAGCTGTGAAGCCCTTTATATTTCAGAGCCCAGTTTTCTCCAACAGGCTACTTCTTTGTAGGCAGTAAGCCTGCAAGTCTTAGATATGTGTGCTTGACTAGTGATAGGGGTTCACAGTTTGCTGGAGTGCTTTTTATAAGATCTTCAGGCAGTACCTGTGAACAAGATTATATGGAAGCAATAGGCTGAAAATCTTCTTGCTTTACATGTTAAATTGTCTGACATGGTTGCACAGATCTGGTTCAGGTAGGGAAGGCATCCCTTCTTGGCTCTAATGGAATTCATTTGCAGACCAAGGTTACTTTACTCTCAAGAGTGTTCACACAGGGGTTAACAGCTCTATTACACTTCTATTAATTTACCTTAAGCTGTCTCCAGCATCCCTGTTAGGCCATGGTTTTAATAAACCACATCCTTGACCAGCAATCAGAACTATCACAGAGGAAAAAAGCTGAGTCAGCAAATGTAATCATAAGGGATAAATACTTACACAGCTCCCCAAAACACCTCCTGCTTTCAGCACTTAGGTCTTACAGCTCTCAAAAACAAACACAACTTAAAACTTAGGCATCAGCGAGCCTCTCAGCTGCATAATGCAGTTCTCTCAATCATGTGATCATATTTTGCATTTAAAGTGTTTCTCCTTCAGAGCAAAGTGCTTTTAGAAGGTGAGCATTATTTATTCCCCTGTTAAAACGTGGGATTAACTGTGACTAATTGGATGGCTCAGAGGCAGAGGTGCAATTGGAAATGTAAACCTTTGTGCCTCTCTTTCTAAACCATGGATGTTGTCATCAGACCCCTTGTTTATCACAGCAGGTCCTCTTGAAACACAGCTTAGTTGCTCAGTTTCATGGCCACTTCAAGAATGTTTCTCCTGAAGCAACTGACTTACCTGCAAGAACTGCCAACAAGAAAAAGTCTTGCAGTTCCATAGGAAAATCAGCTTCCCCTTATAGCTGCTTCCATTCAATGAGGCTGACTTGGGAAGGACCTGCATACATTTCTGTAGGCTTCTGTTTTATGTGCCTGGGTTGGTGTTTTAGGAAAGGAACCCAAGTTTTACAGCTGAGAAGGTCATTGTCTGGCAGCAGGATGTCCACATGAACACACAATAAGCTTTTTTTAAAGAAAAATAAGCTGCTAGAATTCTTCTTTCCCTATATGTCTCAGTGAAATGGTCTTAGGGTGAATATAATATCCTTCCAGCCACATCCCCAGTTTAGTCCTGCATTTGAGAACGTTTAACTTTTTTTGTCTTTGAAGTATGTAAAGGCAGCTAGTGCATATCACTTAGCATAGCATCACAGCTGTTGCTGATGTTTGTAGAGCTTTCCAAATCCTTTCCAGAGCAGTCTCGAAGTGTACAGCTGGGCACAGCACTGTGCATGCCCAACATCACGGGTGTGTTTGTCACACGTAACCAAGGATGTACCTTCTGTCTCTTTACAGAGATCTCATGGATAAAAACAGGCATTCGAACAGATCCTCGCCGGCATCAGCCCCAGTGACACACCAGATCAGCAATCTCATCCGCAGCAACAGCCAGAGCTCCAGTGATGCCATCAGGCAGGTCAGCCTCGGGGACAGGGAGAGGTCCAAGGAGCCCGAGCGAGAGCACCCTGACCGGCTGAGAGAGCCGCCCATAGCGGAGCACAAGATCAAAGAGAGCCGTTCCCCAGTGAAGGAAACTCCAAGCCATGATAAGAGACCCTCTGAGGACAACACAAAGCCAGTAATCCAGTCTGTATCCCCATACAGCAAACCTGCACTAAGTGAGAGCCTGAAGCTTACCAATCTAATGAGCAAGGACATGGAGAGAAAGACAGAGCTTCCCAGCGACCTCCAGAAGATTAAGAATGACATCAAAGTCAAGGAGGAGAGGAAGGAAGACAGTGATGTGCTCGTGGTTGGGTCTGAGCCTTCCCAGCACTCCCGGTCAGTGGAGCATCCCCCACCGCCCACTCTCCATGGATTATCATTGCCTCACTCGATGGCTGCCTCCATGCCCATCTCCATGGGCAGCGTGCACCAGATGAACAACATGAATGTCCTGGACCGCAGCAGGATGATGACCCCGCTCATAGGCATGAACCCTTTGTCAGGAAGAGAGCGGCTGCCGCACCCCGGATTTTCCTGGGACCCCATGAGGGACCCGTTGCGAGATGCCTACCGGAGCTTAGACCTGCACCGTCGAATGGACTTCCAGCTCCGGACAGATCCTATCCATAGGTTTCCTACCACCTCTGGCTTTTACGACCATGAGCGTTCCTACAGAGACAGGGAACCCCACGACTACAACCACGAGAACCTTCTGGAAGCCCGCCGAGAGCAGGAGCGGTTGCGGCAAGTGGAGGAGCGCGAGCGCTTGCACTTACGGGAAGAACTTGAGCGTGCCAGAATGCACCACTTGCACTCGTCCCCCATCGAAAGCCACCTGGCACACGTGCCATCCTTCATGCCTCACTTGAGCGGGATGCATTACCCCAGACTGAGCCCATCCACTGCCATGCACAACGGGATTTTGAACAGGAACCCGCCGACCGCAGCGCTGAGCGCGCCGCCGCCTCTCGTACCAGCCAGCAGCACCAGACCTGCCTCCCCTCGCAGGACTACTCCACTCACAAACTCAGAGTCCAGGGACTACTCCCCCTCTAGGAACCCCAAAGAAGTAGAGGCACGATAGTCCCCAACATCGAATTTTAAACTCACCTGTACATAAAACAAGCAAGCAAGCAAACAAACAAACAACAGCAACAACAACAACAACAAAAAAAAACACAAACAGGAAAAAAAAAACAACAAAAAAAGAAAACAACAAACCTTTTACAAAATGCACTGCTGTAAACTTTTTTTTTAATGTAAAATTTGTAGAAGTTAAGCACATTTCCATAAATAACGGGGTTGGGGACTTTCCAACAAGAAGGTTGCTGAGAATGGGAATTTAATATATAGGTATTGATTTTTGGTTTTGTTTTTTGTTTCTGTGCTAAAAAAAAAAAAAAAAAAGAGTTAAGAATATCAAGTTTGTACATTTTTTCCCAAATGTGAGAAACATTTTTAATGGATTTGTATTTTTTTTAATTTTGTGCTCTTTATTCACTTAAAAAAAGAAGAAATTTTGCTTTTGTTTTTAGTTAAATTTGCATTTTAAAGGCCTCAGATCCTTAAGAAAAAAATACCCAGGGTTTCTTATAAGTATTATTTATGGAAATACTGTAGTTTTACAGTCCACTGTGAGGTTCCCTTCTGAGGCCAATTGATCACTTACCTTGGTACTTTGGAACCGAAGTTACAGATATATATTAAAATATTAATAATAATAATAATGTACAAAACTGTTTGTTTTTTGCCTTATTATATTATGCAGAAATTTAAGAGGAATTTTTTTTGACTTCTTGTTTTAAACAAAAAAAAAAAAGAAAACAAACTGTAAATATTCTGTTAATATAAATGTACACCAATATTAAATTCTTAACATAGGTAGACTTTATAAAAATGGTTTCTAGAACCACTCTGGTTATTTGTTAACATGGTTACAACTCATACTCTTGTCACAGTCAGAAATTCACACTCAGAAAGCTCAGTACGGCATATATACTTCAACTATGCAAGAACTCGGAGGCAGGTCTTAGTGGATGTTGGGGGGAGGAAGGTTTTAAAAAAAAAAAAATTAAAAAAAACAACCCAAAAACAACCAACTCGCGCAACTCTGGAGACAGAATGGCAATGGCATGTGAACAGGAAGAAGGATGCTTGTGTTTAACAAAAAAAAAAAAAAAAAAAAAGAGAGAGAGACTGAATTTTTTTGTACAAACACAAGGGACAGTTCGTCAAGGAAAGAGAAACACACGCTCCTGGAAGGGAATTTTGGTTTCCTACTTTTCAAGCTGGCAAAAGCAGATGGAACTGGCACAGTACCATGCGGCAGACCCTTTCCTTATTTTTTTTTTCCTTTTTTTTTCCTCTTTTTTTGTGTTGTGGGCAGGATCGCTGGCAAGCAAGGACAATTTTCCGTGGACCCCTTGTGCTAATTGTGCAGTGTTCTTATTGGAATCTGTATACAAGACAAAGTAGAATTTTAGGAGTGCAAAAAAAAAAAGTTCTAATGGTTGATTAAAAAAAAAAAAAGAAATTCTGATATATTATCTATAGTACATGAAGACCATAAGCAAATGTTTGTTTCAGTGTGGTTCTGCCTTGAACTGCTTTTTGGCATGATTTATTTTTTATTTCCAATTTTACTTTTCATCCATATGTAAATTTTGCCATGTTTTACTTGCTGTACCATCCCCCCTTCCCTTATTTTATTTTTCAGTGTCCATGTTTTATATATCCTGGGCTTTTTCTCTCTAGTTAATTCAGCCATCCGCTACTATTTTCTTGGCTCTGTAACTCTTGTTTCCCCCCCCTCCCCGTCCTCCCCCCTGCACCCCCTGTAATTTTAAACATTCAGTTTCCTTGTAGATCAATGAAGATAAATACAACATTGATTTTGGATGAAAAAGGCAGTTGAGTGTTTGTGTGTCGTAGCCAGCGCTGTTGACTCGAGGCTAATGGTTTATTGACGGCTGGGAGGAGGCAGCTGGTGGAAAGGGCTGGTGCTGGGACAGGGATTGGCTTCTGCCTGTGAATCCCTGTCCCAGCAGAAGGAGCACGGCCCATGGCACGCTGCAGGTCGGGATTTGGGGGTTTGGGGAGGAGAGCAGAGCAGTGCCCCCAGCCCTGCAGCATCCCCACCCCGCGGTCTGGGGGCATCTGGAGCTCTGCGCCCCAGGGGCTGATCCAGCATCTCCTGCAGGGGAAGGAAGCACAGCCCGTGTGCAGCAGCTCAGTGTGGAGGGACCCTGTGCAGCATCACACGGGAAGGTTGTGGCCTGCAGCACTGCTCTCCACCCCCTTTGCTTCCCCAGCCTTTCCGGGGGGATGGAGCCGTGCCCCCAGCCCCTGTGCCGCAGCGCTGGGCGCTGGTGCCTTAACAGCGTGCTACGGCTTCTGGGTTTAAGTTTGCGTGTGACTAAATTACTGAGCGTGGAAAAATAAAATGAAATAAAATAGCAGGGTCCTTAATCTGATGAAAGGAGGCTTAAAACAAAATAGGCATTAAAAATCAGCACCTGCTCTCCCAGCTGAAATTGGAGGAATGTAGAACACATGGTGGATGTGAAAAGCGTGTTGAACTCAGCGTAAAGATTCATAATGCTGGCTCAGGGGGATTGTAATTCTCCTGGTGCCAGTGTCCAACATGGGGTCTTGTTTGACACCATCTCTGACATGGACCTGCGTAAATGATTCCCCCTAACCTCTGTTAGAGTCCATAGCTGCATGTGCCTAATGCAGGTACGTGTGAGCAAGGAGGTTATTACTGCAAACTTCAGGGAAAAAAAGCAAAAATGGGCCATACCCTTTGAAGCATTTGGTCTGTGTATGACTTGAAAAGTGAGCATTAAATCAATGCCATGCTCCCCTGGCATTCCTGAAGGATTGCTTGTTGCAGCCACCCTGGTGCCAGAAGAATTCATCATGACCGATGTTGCGGTGCTCTGAATATTAAAAGAAAATCAGTGGTTTGCCATTTACTGTATTAGGAAGCATTGCTCTCACGCCTTCAGAGGATGACCCATCAATAATGCTGCACTACAGTGGGATTCCTGTTGAATTACACAGTGTCGAGTATCAGCCTTCTCACAAAATGGTTCATCATGATTAATGGTATTATTACCTAAACAGAGAAACTAATTAATTCAGCCTTATTCCTTTAAGCCACCCCAGCTGAGCTGCCTTCTGCTAAAAGAACTGGTACAGAAGGACTTCCTGGGTTTTATGCATTACTACCACTGTTCAGCTTTCATTTTGTGCTGTTTTCACCATTTTTATTCTACTTTTGGCTGTCTCCCCAAAGACTTCCCTCAGTCACCAAAAAAGGGCGGAATTTAGCAAACAAATGACAGTGGGTGGGAGGAAGAAGATGGGATTTGGAAGGTTCATTGCTTGCCTCAGGCAACCTGTATTTAAAAAGATACTCAGGAAGCCATAAGGAAGGAGACCAGTGGTTGCACTTAAGTTACCTTTTGTCCAAAATACCGCACACCCAACTGGGGCTCCATGAAAGATGTGTGCACCAGCCTCAATTAATGGAGGTCTCTCTTGGCCCAGTAAATAAAAATAGACAACCAGGATATCAGGGAGTGAGGGAAAAAGCCAATCTGTAAAGCTGTAACAAATCCTCAGATCACTTGTCAAAAATATTAACTGTTTCTTGACAAAAAATCTAGTGCTTCCTTGAAAAGCCAGCTTTATTGCCTGAAATAAGCATATGGGAATTGTCCTTTCCAGCTTGTATACATACCATAAATATGTAGTTAGCTGTTGGTGACCTGGAGTTAGATAAACAAGAGGTTGATGTTGATGCAGGCTGAGCTTCCACTGTCAGGTCTGCAGCTCCAGCACTGCCCGGGCCCAGAGCAGGGAAAGCATAAGAAGCCAACTAGTGAGGAATGCAATATCCTGAGAGCTTAGGGAAGAGCGAGACACACCAGCTGTGCTTCGGGCAGCCCAGCAAGTGCCAGAATGAGAGCAGAGGTAGATCAGTGGTGTGCAGCTCAGGCTGGAGCCGAGAAACCATCAGCAGAGGGGAAAACAAGATCTGTGTTTTCCTTGGCTTGTGCCAAGCAAAAAAAAATAAAAAAATAAAAAAGGAAACCTTACCTCCCTCAGGAAATTCCTTTTTGCCAAAGTCTTAAGAAAATAGTTGGGTTGCAGTGTTGGGGGATTTTGGATGGTCTTGTGAGAGGCCAAATGGCATTACCCATCACCGAAGTCTGGGTGTCCCCTTGCCAACACCCCTTGCAGAGCTGTCCCCAGGGCCTCTTGGTGCTCCTTTGCATGGGCACTTGGCTCTGGGGAGAGTCCAGCTAAGGAAATAAAGAGAAATGGGGCTTGGGCAAACAAATGTAGCACTTTTGCTCAGATCTTGGGGAGCTGGTAGCTCAGGGCTTAGCTCAGAAACACGGTGCTTCGGGAAGAGCAGGGCGGGATGTGGGCTCAGCCTCCAATGGGCATCACTGTGGGTGAGCAGCATTGTCCAGGGAATCTGCTTCTTGTCCACTTGTGTCGAGCACGATGGCATCCCCCTGCTGAGGCCACGGCTCTTTCACAGCACCAAGATCAATACTCTGTCAGGAAAATGCCTTTCCCAGTAGTGCACTGTATTATGTGAAACTGAATAAAAAGCAAGGAGTGGGGGAAGGCTACACCAGGCCTAAATTACAGGCTCCCATTTCTGAACATAATGGAGAAAAAGAAAAATCAAATGATGTTTTGAAGTTTAACTTGGAAAATATTTTTCCAAAGCCTTTGAGGGATGTGTGTGTGAAGTAAAGAGGTCGGGTCCCCTCATCCCAGCCCCTGCTGCTGCGGCACAGCTGGAGGCTCCCTGCACAGCGGCTGGGACCTCCTTGCAGGTGTCGGCACGGCAATTTCTTTGTCTTCTCACAAAAAACCTTCTGCTCCATTAAGCTTCCCTAATTGCTGCATTTATCANGCTGGGACCTCCTTGCAGGTGTCGGCACGGCAATTTCTTTGTCTTCTCACAAAAAACCTTCTGCTCCATTAAGCTTCCCTAATTGCTGCATTTATTTTCTGCTTGTTCTCTTCCTCATTCAGCGAGGATGTGTCAAAATAGAGATCCACCCGCCGTCCCTCGGAGATGAAGCTGTTGGAGGCTCCGGCTGCTCAATTGGCCGTTCAGCAGAAGGTCCCTCATTACCGGCTCGTGTGTCACACACATCACAGCAGCCGGCCTGTGCTGGCCGGGTGTCAGGCCCTTTGCACTGAGCCTTGATAAATAGCTGAAAGGAGAAAAATACAGGGCTCATTTTTTGACTCCAAACCCAGCCAGCTTCGTCGTCGTCCTCCTCCTCCTCCAGCTCCTGATTGGAATTCACGCAGCGAAGTGCAGCTGCCCGCAGCAGGGTGAAGCCCTTCATCCCCCCGGAGCCGTCTGAGGAGCAGAGGATGTGTTTGACACCCAAAGGAGATGGGGCCCAGCCTCGGTCACACAGCAGCAGCAGGAGGAGCCCTGGAAGAAAACCACTGTGGCTCAGTGGGGCGGGCAGGTTTCTGCAGCTGCTTTCCAGAGGAGTTGCCATCATATGCGAAGTCATAATTAGCTCTTCTGCAGCATTTGCTCACTGTTTTATCAAAAACACTTTGATAAAAGTGTTTTATTTCTATTAAAAGTGTTTTATATAATATTATTATTATTTCAGGAAAAGGAAAAACCAGTCAAGACACTGAAGGAAGTGACCAGCTTTTCAAAAATGCTCCATTCCCTTCCACAGCCTCCCCTTCTCTCCAGCATTTCCAGCTGATGGAGGGCCAGAGCTCAGCAATGTTCCCCAGACATGCTGGTGTTGGTGGGATCACTCAGAGGAAATTGCAAAGCAAAAGAACTCTGCAAATCCAAATTCAAATTGATGGCCGGTGAAAAGCACAATGGTGAGGAACTAGTTTGGGGAAGCTTTTAGGTTTCAGTATTCAAAAATCTTTCCTTCCTTTCTGAATGCTATAAAAAAGCCTCCTCCTGTGGAGGGAACAAAGGAAAAGGGATTAATTTTATGGGGCTTTTTTCAAAACTAAGATGGTTCAGGATTTTTGGTTTGTTAAAGGACATCTAAGAAACTACAGAGAGTGAAAAATGTCTGACAAGAGAACCTCATCTGCAGGGTGATTTGCACTAAGCCACTCTGGACTGGGAAGGTGGTTGTACCATAAAACACACTGTTAC